CTCGGACACACACGCCGGGGCCGGGCGCCCCTGCCGCGCGCGGGGCAGGGCTCGGCCTGCGTCGTTAGCTCCTTGCGAGGCTATTTCTGGGCTTGGGAGTCTTTGTCTCTGTGTGAGAAAGTGAGGGCAAGAGGGGAAGTGTTTCCGAATAGAACACGGGGGTGTCGGGGCTCGGGCTCCACAGGACCGCGAGGAAATGGCACAGAGTCCGGGCGGGTTGCTTGGGTGAGTAGTTGGAAAGAGCGAGGGAAGCAGAGCTTAGTGGCCTTGGAGTGGGGACCCCCAGGCACGGGTGGCCTCGGGATCCCCCAGAGGGCAGGGGTGCGTGTGGGGAGCCACAGCCAGGGCGGCCTGAGGGGAGCGGGGGAAAGGGGCGGAGCCAGCCCGGGAGCCCCGCCCGCCAGAGGCCACGCCCCCTTCGAGAGGAGGAGCGGGTGGGCTTGTGGACCGACGGCAGTGGGCCAAGCTCCCGGGCCTGGGGGGAGGGGGGATGCTGTGCCGTCGGAATCCCGGTGAGGGAGGGCGGTGGGCCGCCGACGGGAAGCTGGGTCCTGAAGACCCATCCTGGCCCTGGGGGTCCTGACCCCTGACCTCGGAATGTCTTCAGAGTAGAAGCGCGTCCTGTCCTGCGGAGAGGCTTTTCTGTCCGTGGCTTCGTTTCCTTTGGGCCCGGGTCGGGTTCCTGGTTGTCACTGTCGGTCAACCTGTCCGGGATGCTGCACTGCCGCCCTGTCCGGCGAGGCGACCGTCCCTGCTCCTGCCCCTCCTCTCCAGCTGGGCCTCCCCACCCTCGGCCTTCCTCGCCACACTCCTCTTCAAAGCCCCACCAGGCCCCACGTCCTCCAGGTGCCTCCCGGGCCCACGTCTTTCTCCTCTCCAAGACCATCTACTCCGGCCCGAGCAGGGCTGGACGAATGCCCGTGCTTCGGCTAGGTTTGGTGTCCGTCCTAAGCAGGTTTTGGTCCCTGAGGTCAGAGCCTGGTCTCGGCCGGCTTTCTGGGCATGCCTGGGCACGGGGCCCCGAGGATGCCTGCCGGGCGCATCAGGCCGGGGGACAGAGCCGCCGTCTGCCGTGGATCCCCCCACCCCGTGGGTGCATCCGGCAGGGCTGTGGGAAGCCACAGGCCTTGGAGGTCTGGGGATGGGGTCAGGCCTCGTGTTCTCGCCTCTTGGGGTGAGGGTGGTTGGCTCCATAGCTTGGGCAGCTGGAAGACGGGGTGGGGGGGGACGGGGAGACGCAGGGCGCGTGTGAGCTGTCACTCAAATGCACAGATAAGCCCCTCCCCCAGCTGCCCGGCGGGGACGCGGGCG